TGTGTGTGTGTGTGTGTGTGTGTGTGTGTGTGTGTGTGTGTGTGTCTCACTGTGTCCAGTCAGGTCTGTGTTTAGTTCTGGTTGGTGGTTCTGGTGCTGGTCTGGATGGAGGAGAATCATCAAACTGGTGGGGCTGGTCTGTGTGCTCGGTGCTGGTCTGTACTGGTGGAGTCGGTGGTAAACTCAGCTGATCTCTGGGTAATGATTTCACTGCTCTGGAAACAGAAGCACGGCCTCTTCAGAACATCTCCTGCAGCATTACGGCCATCAGAAATGAGGATCTTGTTCATATGTGAGCTGATTTACCTCGGCGCAGATGCACAGGCCTGTAATGACAGATACACACACATGTGAGCATCATATAAGCCGACAGCAGCTGCCTCAGCACATTTACAAGAGCTTAACTTCATTCTCTTAATATCTGCCTTCACAAACACACGCGCAAGAGCTGTTATTACCTCAACATTTGGGCAGAAGGTCTTATTTTATGGGTAGATAGGTTCATTAAGGCTTGGATCTACAGTCAATAATCCATGACTGACTATCAGTAATTGATCACCTGACATCATAAGCATGAATAAATTGTTGAGCTCTTCACATCAGCCGTCGTTATTCTCCATATATGCATCTCCTGTGACTGATCTACAGTTATCTACCGCTGCTCAGGATGACCTAAACCTAAACTAACTTAGACTGGATTTGCAGTAATTGTTAATATTACTGCAGAGGAAAGGTCTAATCGTTCTCAACAAAGCTTGTCAATTATACAGGAAACTAAAGATTTATAGAGTTTATAATAGCAGAAACGTTTTAATTGGATTTCTGATGCATTTATTTGCTGATTTATTATTTTCTAGACATTTTCTCAGCAGCTGTTTGTCTCAGCAGCCCTGAAACTGATCTGTGCTGGATCTGCTCATGTGTTTATAGATCTATAATCAGAAATCAAGTGTGTGCAGTGACTTTACCCTGCCAGCAGATCCCATGAACTCCAATCGGCCATCTGCACACACACACACACACACACACACACATACACACACACTGGAAACACTGATTCACAACTACAGTATGTGTTTGTTTTTTTTAACATCCATCAGCTACATCACACACACACACACACACACACACACACACACACACACACACACACACACACATGTACACACACGTACACACACGTACACACACACACACACACACACACACACACACGTACACACACACACACACACACACACACACACAGAGCTGTACCTGATGAGCTCTTCGGGAGTCTGCCGGGTTTGAGGTCTCTGTTGATGGCTGGTGCTTTACGTTCTGAGAGGGGGAATTCAGATATATTATATGAAAATACCAAAAATCCAACATCACAGCTGTGAAGAAAACATCCGACACCGCAGCTCTACATCAACATCAGACTCTCCTCCACACAGATACTGTCATTATACACATTAATATAAGAATAAAGACCTGGCAGAACACGCTGAGGACGAGGAGGAGGAGGAGCCACGGCATCCTGAAAACACACACACACACACACACATTTCATACAACACAACCATCTTATAAAACACTAACACTGATACACATTTCACACAACACACACATATGCACACTCATATATGATACAACACACACACACACACACACACACTCACATCTAATCAAACACACAGACACACACACACACACACACACGTAGACAAACTAGATAAAACACACACATTCACAAACACACATCTAATAAAGCATGCACTAACACATCTCAAACAACAAACACATCTAACAAAACACACACACACACACATACCTGCTCATATGATTCAACACACACATCCGATACAACAAACATACACACACACAGATCTAGTAGACATGCACTAACATTTTAGACAACACACACACATATGAATGCACTCTCACACAAGACATGCATCTAGGATTTAGCACACACACACACACACACACACACACACACACACAAATATTTTATAACACACACACTGATACTCACTGCTGTGCGGGTGCGACTCTTCGTGGCCCGTTCAGCAGAGCTGCTTTCTGTAACACACACACACACACAGACGCACACACACACAGACGTACACACACACACACACACACACACACACACACACACACACGCTGTGATGACTTGAGCTGTCCAGCAGGGGTCGCTCATGTTTAGATATTCATCATTGGTGAGTAAAGCAGCTGATGCGCACTGAGGACAGCAGATCATGTCAGATCATGATATTCAGCTCACACACACACACACACACACACGCACACACACACACACGCACACACACACACACGCACACACACACACACACACACACACACACACACACACACACACACACACACACACACACACACACACACACTGACATCTGCTGCATAATCAATCATCAATAATCAATAACATTTACGAACACACGAACACTCATGTGTTTGAGCTGCACTGACGGATCTCACACACTAGATGGAGATGTGTGTGTGTGTGTGAGTGTGTGTGTGTGTGTGTGTGTGTGTGTATTAGTCATTTCATGTACAAACCTTCACACAGGTGTGCGTGCACATATCTGTCCCGATCTCTTCTGTACCTGCCATCCTGAGAAACCACACACACCTTATCAGTGACACACACACACACACACACAAACATGTACACACTTAGACACACAGACACTCGCCGGCCACTTTATTAGGTACACCTCACTAGAACCAGGTTAGACTCCCTTTTTACCTTCAGATCTGCCTTAATCCTTGGTGGTGTAGACTCAACAAGCTGCTGGAAATATTCCTCAGAGATTTTCCTCCATATTGTCATGATAGCATCACACAGTTGCTGCAGATTTGTCGGCTGCACATCCATGATGCCAATCTCCCGTTCCACCACATCCCAAAGCTGCTCTATTGGATTGAGCTCTGGTGACTGTGGAGGCCATTTGAGTACAGTGAACTCATCGTCATGTTCAAGACACCAGTCTGAGATGATTGACAGCTTTATGACATGCTGCGTTATCCTGCTGGAAGTAGCCATCAGAAGATGGAGACACTGTGCTCATAAAGGGATGGACATGGTCAGCAGCAATACTCAGGTAGGCTGTGGCGTTGATGCTCAATTGGTACTAATGGACCCAAAGAAAATCTCCCCCACACCATTACACCACCACCACCAGCCTGAACCGCTGATACAAGGCAGGATGATCCATGCTTTCATGTTGTTGAGGCCAAATTGTAGATCAGCAGTTTCTGAAATACTCAGAGCAGCCCGTCTGGCAGCAGCAACCATGCCACGATCAGAGTCTCTTAAATAATTTATCCTCATTATAAAATATAATACATATACTAAATATAAAATCCCCATTCTGATGCTCGCTCTGACCTGCAGCAGATCCTCTTGACCATGTCTACATGCCGAAATGCAGTGAGCTGCTGCCATGTGATTGGCTGATTAGACATTTGCGTTAACAAACATTTAGACAGGTGTACCTAATAAAGTGGCCGGTGAGTGTACATGCACGCACACACTCACTTTTACACAACAGACACATAAATACATTTGTGCATGCACACACATACACACAAAAAGTCAGACACAAACAAATGTACACACAAACACACACACACACATACACACTTTGATGAATAACAGCAGATGAGATGAAAACTCACCATCATTACAGGACACACATCATTATAGACGCAATCTGCTCCTGCCAACACGCACACACACACACACACACACACACACACACACACACACACACACACACACATTAGGTGTTTTTGTCTTGTGTATTTTGATTGTTGAATGAAGTGTGTTTCTCCTTAAAACTAGCAAAATACAGTAATCTGCCAGACGCACATGTGTGTGTGTGAGTGTGTGTGTGTGTGTGTGTGTGTGTGTGTGGTGTGTGAGTGTGTGTGTGTGTGTGTGTGTGTGTGTGGTGTGTGAGTGTGTGTGTGTGTGTGTGTGTGTGTGTGTGTGTGTGTGTGTGTGTGTGTGTGTGTGTGTGTTCCTCTTTCTTCATTGNGAGATGTTTTAATGAAAAACTCACTCTTCTTTATTTCTGAACACAAGACTAGATGTTTTTCTGGTCTAGAAACTGCTTCTTGACACAAATGTTTGGACGTTTGGCTCAGAGACGAGACACACACTGTTTTTTTGCAGGCAGGTGTGTTAACGCTGGTCTGCAGGTGTATCTGCTGTTTGTTCTGTACAGATTATCCGTCAGACCTGTGGTGTGTATCCTCAGTGTTTCTGCTGTACATCATGNCACACTACAGCTAATTATAGTGTCAGTCTGTGTGTGGTTTCCGGCTGAGTCCTGCTGTTTCCTGTTTGTCAGGAGAATCAGACTCTTCTGAGAACTTCAGCTTCATATCAGAGCATTAATTCAGTCTGCGACACGTTATATCATACAGAGAGCATCAGATACAGTGGCGACCGACAGAGCTCAGCGCTTCCGGCTTCATATAAGAGCTGAGCTTACTGCAGGAAATTCATTATTAATAAACACGCATCAATAAACTGCTATATATATATATAATTAGCACAAACACTGCTTCTCTCACGGGTTTTCTGTCTTGTTTCTAGTCCAAACTGTAGTCGTTGTGTTACCATAGCAACTGTAGAATCACCACAACACATCAATTACTGTAGTTGTGTTACCATAGCAACTGTAGAATCACCACAACAGATCAATTACTGTAGTTGTTGTGTTACCATAGCAACTGTAGAATTACCACAACAGATCAATTACTGTAGTCGTTGTGTTACCATAGCAACTGTAGAATCACCACAATAGATCAATTACTGTAGTTGTTGTGTTACCATAGCAACTGTAGAATCACCACAACAGATCAATCACTGTAGTTGTGTTACCATAGCAACTGTAAAATCACCACAACAGATCAATCACTGTAGTCGTTGTGTTACCATAGCAACTGTAGAATCACCACAATAGATCAATTACTGTAGTGGTTGTGCTACTAGTGTCCTGCATTTGAGCCCGAGCCCGTCGTGGCCTGACTATTTTTATGGTTTCAGGCCAATTGTCTTGTCATAGCTAGAACACTTATCGGGCTTCAGGCATTAGAAATGTTTCTTTTTAAGTTTACTGAGATCTAATGTGTGCAGTCTGGAAGCGCCAGTGATGCCTTGCACATACAGATTTCCAGCCACGAGCAACAGAGAACATGAAGAGAAATAGTTAAAACTGTGAAGAACAGACTTCTGCTCAACTTCTCAAATACACAGCTTTAATAATGAGCCAGCCGCTTCTGCACAATACACAACTGTACGTCCAGCGGCGCCGGCAGGATTTTCCTCCAGATTACCGTCCCTTCTTCTTATTTCGTGTGTTCTGACATCATTCATTGCTGGTCAGTTATCTACTATATAAAAAAGTGCTTCAAGACAAGTCCACTATAAGCTTCAGCTCCAAAACACCAACAGGATGATCAAATACCATAATACTCTGGCCTAAATCACATTAAAGTCAACTATTGACAGTTTCAGGGGAGCCTGTATTCAGCTGTTTTCCCTGACAATGAAAACAATCCTCTATTACACCAGTCAATTACAACTGAATTGATGAACAGGACAGCCATTTACAATATCAGCAGCAGTGTTCCAGATCACCTCTGCAGAACAAACTCGGTTGAAAAGATAGGAGAACTCAGAAACTGGTTGTGAGAATGAAGATGTGCCAGTCTGTCAGATAAATGGTTTAAAACAGCTTGAATAGTGGCCGTTCCATGTGAGGAGGCTGTGCAGCTGGCGGATCTGAATGGTCTGATGACAGAGACAAGGGCTGGCGCTGGAGTTCCCCCTGCTCAGGTGCTGTTGAGACTGTGATCTCCACCCCGTGCGGGGGATCAGTATTGGTCTCATTAGTTTTAGGTCTTTTGGTAATTGTCTCCATTAAGTTTAGCTGTTTTAAAGAGCGGTTACTCATGTTGAACCTAGTTCTAAACAATAGCTCTCTGTGTTGGTATTTTTAGTGTGCAGAAAAACCGCCAGCAGAGCTAAAGCCAACAGATCCATTTACCATCTCCCACCACACACGTACACACACACACACAAACACACACACCTGTACTTATTCTCATTCTTTCTTGCTTTGTCAATATATCGAAGTGTATACTGTTTAATAATCAACTGAAATTATGCAATAAATAAATAAATATGTGCATTATGCACATTAACTCTGATGGTAGACGTGCACAGTGCAGACAGCTGCATGTCTCTCTGGGTTAAATGAAGTAAAGTCACTGTATATCAAAGTCACGTTAAAAAACGAAAAAAACAAACAAAAAACTCCAAACATTTCTCAATTATTCTAATCAAAAACCACAACATGAACAAGACATCAACTTTCTATCAGATACACATGTGCTCTGTTGAATGGCTGTAACAGTGTGAGCGGTGTGGTGGGAGTAAACTGGCTTCAGGTGGGACAAAAACTGTGATAAGCTGTTGAACAAGGGCCGGGCGACAGTCTGTGTGTCTCAGGCTAGGGCTTGGATTTAAGGCCCATGCTGGGCTCTAATGTATTACCAGCTGTAGAATCACCACAGCAGATTCATTAAAGCGCTTTCCTATAGTTTGGTTGAAATAAAACTACAGTATTTTCCTACTACAGTGTTTTAATGCGAGTGAACAACACCCCGAGATCAGCAGGACCTTCCCCAAACAAAACTGAGACTTCTGAATCTGATATTACATGTGTCAACAGCTCATCTCACAGAGAAACAGACATCTGCAGAGCCGGCAGAACACACAAACTGCTCTGTTCACACACACCAGCTCTAAACAGGATTGTTCTGCTGATCGTGTATATGTGAGGAGGGCTGATATTCACTCTCTAGTTGCTCAAATATGAATCAGCCGGAAGTAAAGTATGTCTGATTACCTGGAAAAGCAGACGGTTTACTGTCCACCGGTGTGCACAAGATTATTAATGTTTAAAAGCGCTTCTGTCTGATTGATCAACTGGATTACAGTATGTGTTTGAGATGTAAAATGACAGAGTAATCTGAATACTAATGTGATTTACTGATGAACATCCGTAATGCATTTGATCACGCTGAACGCTGGATTCTGATCATCATCATGATTGTGATGGTCATTGAAGGTGTTTGGTTATTTTTAAATCAGCGCACAGCTAAAGCACTTTCGGCAGGTGTAAAGCGCATTATAGAGAAATAAATCTGTTAAACGGTGTGGGATGAAATATCGAGAGTTCATAATGCAGTTCAGAAGCAGAAATAAACTACATTTCAAAACAAATCTAAATACAGAAATTAAAATATGGAAAATGATTTAGTGTTCTGCATTATTTATTTATTTATAACAATTTCCTGCTATTTTCAGACTAATTTCTCTAGATTTTATTATATATTATATTACTGTTTGAAACTTCTAAAATGGCAATAAATAATGACTAACTGTGTTTTTAATCAGTTTTCTCCTGTTTTGGTCTGTTTGTTAAGATGCTGAATCTCCAGCGGGGAGGAACACACATTAATGCGGACAGATGCTTTTAAAATTAATATATTACAATCTTGAGTCACATTAAAAAATAAATGCATCTGAACTGAATGTGTACTCGAAGCCACTTTTTATAGAAAGTAATGTGCTTTATTATTGTTGTGTATTTATTTTTCTCCGTCTCGGCGGGCTTACGGATCGTCCACCCTAAACTGAAAAGGACTCACTGTTTACTCTCCATCAAGTGTTTCTTTCATCTGTTCGACATTAAAGAAGATATTTTGAAGAATGATGAAAACCGGTAACCATTGACTTCTATAGTATTTGCTTTCCCGACTATGGACATCAATCCGCATTCCTCAAAACATCTTCTTTAAACAGTAAACAGAGTTAATGTTGGTGTGTTTGTGTTGAATGTCTGTAATACATCACTGTAAGTACAGTAGAGCGAGCGGAGCAGATCTGAACAACTGGAAAACGGCTTACCTTCATCAGCTGAGCAGCGGGAGACGACCACCGAGCTCCAGTGTGTGTG